CAGCAGGAAGCCAAGAGGTGATGGTTTGACTGTGGTTAATGCTGTAACTGGGTAGAGGGGGCCCTCTACTGGGACATAGAAGGTGTGGGTTCAAATTCTTTGCGCTTGAGGCTGAGGGAGGCCCTGTGTCTAATAAGTCTTGTATGTCCTGGATGAGTGCTCTAACCATTAGGCTTTATGCTTTTATCCACATACAGATCATAAGTCCTGCTATGATTTATATCTTAGGCAGTCAGGGCGAAGCAGGATTGCAAGCAAATAGAGGGAACTTTGCACAGGTTGAAATCTCCCACTGGAATGAATGGAGAGCCACATACTTCCTGTGCTAAGTAAGGATCTGACTCTGGAAGTAGCTAACTGCTTTTCATTGAGATAAATGAGAGAGCTGTGTGGTGATGCAGGGTGAAGTAGAATTTGCTGTGAGCTAGCTCCCCATTGCAAAAATATATATACTAAATAAAGGAGAGCTATGCATCTACACAGACCATAGAATAGCGCATACATAGAATGCCTCTTTGATCCTAGCTGAGTAAGAAAGGACTTTGTTGGAAGCTATGCATTTGACTTCTGGTGGGTGATAGAGGATTTAACCCTCTGCAGAGAATTAGAATCTCAAGGTCAGTATAGAAACTATGAACCCCTCAACCTATTTCAGGTGATTTCATGCATCTATATAGATACCTTTTGCTTTCTGAATGACTCACCCCCTGATAGTTTGCCAGATCTGAGGGAAAAGGAGGTAAGGTCAAAACATTGTCATGATGTAATCTGTGGGGAAATTTCCATGAGGACTTTTTTTCTCTCCAAAAACTCCTCTGAGAGTTTTGAATTTAGGAACTGGTTTGGTGGTCTCGAAACCATATGTGCAGCCATAGCTCTTGTTTAGGTTGGGAGGGAAGGATACCAAAGCAACTGCAGCTGGTCAAGAGACAGTGGAAGCATTTTCAAACAGTGTTGTGAGAAAAAGATAGCCCACTTATACATTCAACAACAGCAGTGCTGCTCTTCTATTAAAAATTCTTGCTTTTTAATTAAATTGTTGAAGCAGTTCTTTGGGTCTTCACCAAATGCAGCCTCCTCCTTGCTGGCTTTCCTTTTCCTTAACCCCTAAGACTTGCAATAAATGGAATGAAAGCGTTTTGGAAGGGTGACTAACAACTTTTAAAAGACCAGCAACAACAGCAAAAATGTCTTTCTGCCTTCATCTTCATTCTCTCTTTTGTTGAATTTGTTCCCTTTTTTTTTCCTGGTTGGGCTTGTGCGGGCCGGGAGCGCCCCGAGCCCTTTTCGCGCTGCACGCGGGCTGTGGCCAGCAGCCCGGGCGCGCGGGGGCGGAGAGGGAAGGCCTTCGAGCTGGAATTAGGCACGGACGCGTAGCGGTAGTTTAAAAGATTATTTACTTACACCGAGATGGCAGTGGTGTAGGCTGGAAAACTTGCTTAAGTTGCGGTTACAGACAAACAACACAGACGGTCTCGTGGAGGTTGCTAGGCTCCACGGTGCAGAGCTCCGGATGCTCTGGGTGAACGAGCCACCAAAATAGAAATCGTAAATACGTCTTATAAGAGTTGCGTTCGAAGACGGGAAGAGGTGGGTGGTGGATCAGGCCGCCACGCTCCTCTGGATCTCACACAGGGTTTCTATTACCCTGCCGTGTACCCAGAGTCCCCACGAGATGGATGTGGAGTCCTCTTCGGCTTGGACGGAAACTGCTCAAGCCTCTTATATGGCTAACAGGCCAATCGTTAGCCGCCACGTGTGAATAATTTAGCACTGGCCAATTATGGGGAACAAATTTGCATACCGGTGGCGGGAACTCTTTTGCACCGTGCATTCCTCTTGCAACATGAGCAATGCACTCTGCAAAAGAAGCTGCAGAAAGGCGGGAAACTGGTCCCTGCACCGGGGTTTCCTCTGCAACAGGAAACTCTCCCGTGCAATGCTCTGCAACTTGACGGGGATAATTCTGGTGCCGAAGCACAGACACACAATCATGCCTTTTGGGTCATGACAGGGCTCAAATGCAGGAACATGTATCCTTTTTAACTTCATGGAGTTTGTCCTATAGATATATAGAGTGTGTGTGTGCGTGTGTGTAAAATATACATCTCATGGCTTTCCAGAAGCCAGTCTTGAAGTCAGAGGAGGACATAATAAATCTGGACCAAGTAGTGTTATCGCAATTACCCAGCATAAATAGCATTATGTATAATGGGATCCTTTTCAGCCTTCATCTTTGCCTTATAAACTAAAAGGGTTAGGAGTTTCAAATGGACTACTATCTGCCTGGATCTGGTTATTTAGTTTCTTAATTTCCTTCTAAGCAATATATAGTTTTCATGTCAGTGTTCTGCTGTGAGAGGAGCTGTATTCATTGGATGCAAACTGTTTGTGAGTTTCTCTGTGCATCTAGGTCACTTACTGCTCCTTCAGTACCCCTAGGGGACGCAGTAACTTGGAACACAGAACTTAAGATAGGGCCTAGAAAGCTGTTGTTGCCTGATTTTATATATTTACTCTGATTAGGACTAGTGCCTGCATGCCTCTTGTCTGCTTATTACTTCTGCTCAAAAGATGTTGGCCTATTATTTGTGGCTTGCTGTACCCAGTAACTGCCACTCACCTGAACTTTTGGAAACATGAGGTTTAGAGAAGTCATCAGTTTCAGCCTTGTTTTTGCTTTCACTTGGCACAACAAGCTCTATGTGGTTCTGCAGTCTTTTGCACCTGAGAAAAGTGTTCTTCTGGACAAATGATGGTTGAGTAAAATTATCCAATTTTTAGATTAAAACCAGTGGGCTCTTGGAGCAAACAGAAGGCAGAGCTTTCATTTTTTCATTACAGCCGCAGACTTGGCAGCTTCTCTGGTGGTGCCATGCAGGGCGGGGTTTTGTCTACATTTTCTGGGGCTTAAGGTTTTGCTGATACACTTTGCAGGTGGACTTCCCAGTATACAGCCTTTATCCCTTAGAAATGCAGGAATACTAAAATAACAAATTAATACCTTCAGCAGCAGCAACAAATACAGGAAGTAAAGTAGCATAGAGAGAGTACTCAAGGAACATATTTGCTATTACCAGCTCCAATAAATATACCACATAACAATAAGAGAACTCATATTGTGAGTAGCCATCCTTTCCTATCAACAGGGTACACATCAGTTGACAGATTGACCATTATTTATAGGAATGTTCTAGCCTAAAAAGTACAATAACAGGTCCCCTATACAGCATATATTGCTATAGGCTTGACTGAGGGCTGCTATCGTCAATGTCTAAACTAATTTTTCTTTGTTAAAAAGTCATAGGAGCAAGTCTGAGAAAAGTAACATGATGTATGCTTTCTATGTAAGAAGATATGAAATATTAACTGGAACTTATTGAAGAGACAGCTGCTTTCTCAGAGGGAGGGCCATCCAGGGCTGACTAGTTCACTGAGAAACAACATTTCAGCATAAGAATTAACTATCTTCTTGTTTGCTGTATCAAGGCTCTGATTCCCCTGCACTGTACTAATAAAATATTATGTACTATACTCAATTGCCTTATATTCTTTCCATTTTGTTCCTGCAAGTCAAAGTGCAGCAATTTTTGGAGAGCTGAAGCCAGAAAATGGTCTCATTTCCATGGGCACAGAAGAATACCAGCATCTGGACAGAGTTACAGCAAGCCAAGATGATAGTCAGTATTTAAGTATAGATATATGGAATCCCATTTTCCTGACCATATGAGGCATCCACACAATTCTACAAGAGCAAACCATTGAAGTTAAACTTATTAAAAGAAGCTGTTTGACAGAAGAATAGACAGGCTGACAACTGAAAGCATGTAATCAAGTTTAACATAAGCATTGCTACCCAGCATTAAATTCACTGCACACACCAGTATATTTATGTAAATACCAAGAGGTGCATGTGCTATCATAAATGTTTCCACTGGCTCTGGAAATCGTATAAAAACAGCAGTACCTGATTTTAGTGATGAGACAGAAAATAGTCTAGTTATCAGGGTACTGGCTAGATTTTTTTAATGTATGTTCAGTATCAACTGCAACACAAAATGAAGACTCCAAAAATCTCATAGACTTTAAAGTCAGTAGACTCTCACTGAATTCAGTGGAATCTCTTCCTGTAAAGTTGGGCCTCAGAAATGAATAAAGCTACAGTTAACAGCAGTTAAATGAAAGAGAAGATTAATTTCTGTTTGCTAAAATTTGTTGGAAGTTAATATTTAATTTACCTGCATGCCACTTGGTGACATATTAAAGCTTTCTTATTAGCTCTCTAGACTCTCTATTGGTGTGTAGCCATAAGGTAAGGAAAAGCAATAAAATCCTATGGGCCTCAGAAATGAATAAAGCTACAGTTAACAGCAGTTAAATGAAAGAGAAGATTAATTTCTGTTTGCTAAAATTTGTTGGAAGTTAATATTTAATTTACCTGCATGCCACTTGGTGACATATTAAAGCTTTCTTATTAGCTCTCTAGACTCTCTATTGGTGTGTAGCCATAAGGTAAGGAAAAGCAATAAAATCCTACAATTCCTTTAAAAAAAAAAAAAGTGGGGAAAGAGGGGTTACTGCTGAACTTTTTTTTTTGGGGGGGAAGGGCTAGCTTAGGAGTTCCTATGA